CACAAAGGAAAACCAAAAGAAGGCGAGTCGAGGCGAGTCGAGGTGGTTCCTTGCAGTGGAAAAGGTGCTTTACGTTTCTCTCTCCATGTTTGTCCGCTTCGGTGACTTTCTCCATCAGTAGTAGGCTAGGCTGTATAAAGGCACCGAAAAGAAACAGAACTTGTCTTCTGGACTTTTCCTCCGGTGATTCCCAGCAGCAGCTGCATGTTGCGGGGGTGTGTTGACGACGTAGCCTATCAAAACAAAACTAACGTGGTAGCTAACAAATAACATCTGACTGGTGTGTCCAGTGTCGCGACTTGAAACGTAATCACCGTGTTTCTCTGATAAATGCAACGGTGTGTCGTCTAACCTGGGCGGCCCGCGGAAGTGTATGTGTGCGAAACACTGACTGAACCGTGCTTTTCTTTTTACAAGCCAGGTCTTTAACCAGCACTGTGTCTCAATCCATCTTGTTGAGAGTTTGTGAGTAGACGGCTGAGTGCAGACGCAGAGGGAGGGGCGGGGCTGCGCAGTGAGGGAGAGAGAGGAGCAAACGCTGGCAGGACTTTACGAAACAAATTAATCACCTCAACATCAAACTATATCGGTATAAACGGTATTGTCTAATTTCATATTTCTTTTGAAATTATATCGGTATACATTATATACCGATATACCGCCCAGCCCTAGCTTGCTGTATACTTTTCTTAATAAGCTGTGCAATATGAGAATACCCTTTCTTGGGTGAGCTGGTTAAATAAGACATATAAAAAGGAAAAACGGAAATTATTCGTAGAGACCCAAAAGATTGCATAGAAACATGACGGCTGTCTCCTGCTATCAGTTAAGGACAAACTAAAAGGAATGGATCAAGGGAAAAAAAATTTAAAACGCTGACTAACCCTCCTAAACAGTCCAGAGGAGGACACTATTTGAAGAGTAAAATTAACTGGAATGTCCTTAAGTCAATGAACTCCAGGAGTTATATTCTCATCACAAAATACCAACAGCAGCCATAGTCATTAATACTATCAAAAACACCAACTTATTAATAGCCATATAAAAGATCTGCCATGAAAAAAACAAAGCTTCCTATCAATAAGGAATCACCAAGGAACGTCAGTGGATAAATGAACAAGAAACCTGGGTGTGGAAAAAGGTAGTTGCTCAGCCGTCCAGTGATGAGGTCACATCTTGAGCAGAAATCCTCCTTCCAGCGATGATGGCGAATGGACCACTGTAGCCCGCCAGCTTCCCTTCTTTTCTCGCCTGCTCCACAAGTGGCCACAGCTTGGCTCTTGCATCTCTTACTTGCTGTGTTAACTCCTCTGTGATCTTGATTCTTTTTTGTTTTAGAACCTCTGAGTGTTTTGCATCTGCCCAAACACGATCCCGGTATGTGCGTGATAAGAACTGCACAATAATACGACGTAGTTGCGGGGTCTGCTGTTGTTGCTTTTGTTCTTGGGGCCAAGGCGGTGCGCGACATCCACGGAGTTATGGAGAGCATCTTTGATTCCCGGCGAGACTCTAGACAGTAAATCGATAACACTCATCTTGACGTTTTCATTTTCTTGTTCTGGGACACCCGATATCTTTAAATTCGACCTTCTCTTGTAGGCATCGATGTCATTTACCCTGTCTCGCAGCACAGTGTCTCTTTTTGTCTCTCTTTGTTAATGACTTTACCTTCTGCTCCAGCTCCGCTATGTTAGTAGAAAGTCCATTCATCTCCTTCCTAGTATCCCCCATAGACGTAGACAGGGAGCGGATGGCGTCGGTGTTCTCTGACGGATTTCTCGATGCATTGAAGCTTCTCAAGAAAGGAATCCTGTCTTTCACCAATTTTGTTGATGGCAACAAGTAGAGTGGCATTCGTTATTAGCTCAGAGTTCTCCCTTCGGACAACTTTCTTGATAAGACTGTTAGTAGGTGTGTCAGCAAGAGCTTCATCAGAGTTTCTGTCAGTGGGTTGTTTCGTGTAGTCGTGCACTCGTTTTACCCTCTCCACTAAAATCTTCATATCATCCTCTTCTTGAACGCTTCCCGCGAACATCCTTCCAGGGAAGTGTAAAGATAGCATCAACCTAGCAAGACCGTCCAAGTTTAGCTAGCAGTAGTAATTAAAAAAGTAAAAATAACCAAGTCAAAAGCGTATTAAAGAGTTCTGTACGAAGTTAGTACTTCACCGCGCAGCTCATTCCAAGCGTTTTCACTTAAAGGGGTGGTTTAAAATCCAGTTTGTGCACTAAGCCATCGTCAGCTGCAAGAAAAAACGTCGCAGAAGTATAAATTGCACTTTATCTCACGTGTCATGTGACCAGAGTGTAATCGCAGCCTTTGCCATTAGAAAATCTCATTTTATCATATTGCGATAATATCGCAAATGCAATTAATCGTTCAGCCCTACTTTAAACTGAAAAGAAATAAAGATTTGATACTTATTGTGAAAACATTTTTGGCCCTATCATCCTGCCCTATTTATATCTAAGACTATTAAAGTTCAGAGAGCTCGTGTAAAGCAGTGACCGCTGTTTTTAACAGTTGGTTTAAAGGAACTTTTTATTCTCTTTTCCAGTTACAGAATGTGCAGTTTTCTCTGATGAAGGAGCTTCTGGTCCTTTGATCCAAGGAAGCAGCAGGTTTGATGTGCAGCCAAGACTTAAAGATAACCTAATGTTAAACAGTATATGCTAATTACCAAGAATTACTAAGTAATCTCAGCAGACCAATAGTCCAGAGCTCCTCCTGCTGATTAGGAACTCTCAAATATGTATGAAACAGTCTGGAATATCAAAAAGACAAAACTAGAGAAGATTTATAATTGATCATTTCAGTGAACCAGGTGATCTGAAGGTTCAGGATCGATGATGAGGAAAAGTGGAAAAACAAAACTGAAACCATTTGTCATTTATTTTATGAGTGTTTATGTACCAAAATTATTTAGGTTAGATTCAGAATAGTTCTTTAAGACGTTCACTGGTTCTGACATTCTTTTATTGATCCTGATTAATACTGATTGCAAAGGACTTTATATTTTGAAACTCTTTATCTTATATGAAAAAAATTACATTTACAAAATGTCTAAAAAAGAATCCACAAATACAACTTTTCAACATAGAAGTCACATTATATTAGAACTTCAATGATTAGTCAATTAATCAATTAGTTCTTAACTATTTAAATTAATCGCCAACTATTTTGATAATCAATCGCTTTGTAAAGAAAAAATTTCCAAATTTTTATTCCAGCTTCTTAAATGTGAATATTTTCTGTTTTCTTTCCTCCTCTGTGACATTAAACTGAATATATTTGGGTTGTGGACAAAACAAGAAGTTTGAGGACGTCACCTCGGGCTTTGGGAAACACTGAGCGACCTAACAACTAATCCAGAAAATAATCGACAGACTGATCGATAATAAAAATAATTGTTGTTTGCAGCCATGGATTATATTGAAGCATGATCAGAACTAAAGCCATTCAAACATTTAAACTGTGATATATAAAGATTTAAATGTTTTCTTGTATCTGGCTGATTCTGTACTTTTATTAAGATTTTATGTGAGATGAATCAGATTCAATAAAAATATCTCCCAGCTGAAACTACTTTCTAACATTTAATACCTCCTTTACTTAAGGAGACGAAGTTCAGATTGTTTCTGGTTTTTCAGAATAAAAGCGTACACAGACTGATGTTGTTAATGTCGCTGTAGTTCATTAATGACTCTCCACTGGGACCACAGATCATGTCAGCCCCTCCTGGACTTCGCGCCAGAGAGTTTTCTAAACATAGTATATTAAGGACACATGTTAGAGGTGGAGAGTCCTTATAGACCAGGAGAACATGAACTGCTGACTCAAATGATACTTCAGGTCGCGGTTTTCATTGTTTGATGTGTTTGTGGCATCACTTTCATCAGCCCGAGTAATGGCCCTGGACCCTGTAGAATTCAGTTAAATGTTAATAATACACGTTTGTGTTTTCTGTGATCCATGTTTGTGTATTAGGTTGTGCTGCAGTAAAATGTACAGTTTTCTTCACAGTTATGAAGTTCTGGCAATCAGAATTTGCAGTTTGTTTACTCTGAACGTTCAACAAAACATCATCAACCTGTCGGTCCCTCAGTCTGACTTCCTGTCTGTGGCCCTCAGTCCTGGGCCCATTGGTTCCTCCTGAAGACGTAATCAGTCATTTCCAGCTACAGTTTCTATCACGAAGAGCATCTGCACAGTTTGAGCTCTAATGAGATGGCAGCTGCTGGTTTGAGTCTGAACATGAGATTTACAGATGAGCCGGAAAATCCAGTTTATGATCAGACTGACTACAACTTCGTCAATATTTCAGGGTAAAGTACTACCTTTACATAAAAGTATGCAACAGCTGTCAAACTGATCAGACACAAAACGCAAATTGTTCTTTCAACTAATCAAGAGCCCTGAGCCAGGACCTGGACCTGCACGCTGTGACCTGATTTGTGGTTTATCTGCAGACCTCTAAAAGTTCTCCTCCAGAGTCGCCACTTTAAACCTGCTCCCCGAGTCTTTAACTCGGGCTAACAGGACCGCATAAAGCCTGCCGGGTTGGAGGACCTGCTGGAGGCATCTCGTGGGTCCCACCGAGCGCCGACATGCTGGTCTTGCTGGAACCATTCTAGGCGGAGAGCCCTCCCCAGGCCGCTGGGAGCTGGAGTCTACAGGTCTACACTGGTATTGACTGGTGGGACGGGGTCGGTACCAGACCGGGGCTAACTTTGCCTGCTATCCCAGCTGCCTTCCCTAATTATGTGGAGAAACCGGGTTTGGTGTCTGGAGCTGGGTTTTGTAGCGGGTTTCGGCTCGTGGCCGTGCGGATGCGGGGGGACCCGCAGAGTCCCCCCGGGCCAGCGTGCTACGTAAAAAACAAAAGAGGAGCGCTTCACTAAGTTCAGTCTGAGTTTGTCTGCGGGAGCTAACTCCTCTGAGCCTCACCGAGCTAAAGTCTGGCTCCGGGACCTGGACTCGGACTCGACCCCACTTACCGACTGCGCCTCCGCCCCGCGGCCCCTCCGACCTCCGTCCCGTCCCCGCGCCGACATTTTGGAACAAGTTTCAGGGATGTTTGTTAGAGTCCGGGCCTGGACTGCTGGGCGCTGAGCTGGGAGCCGTGCATTGTGGGAGAGTGACGTCACACCCCGGCCTCAGAGAGGAACACCCCCCCCACACACACACACACACACACACACACACACACACACACACACACACACACACACACACACACACACACACACACACCATCATCCATCCATCCATCGTCAACCGCTTATCCTGCATTCAGGGTCGCGGGGCACACATACATCATGGAGCCCAAAATAAAACATATAGCTAGTTATGAATATAATAATAAAATAAAGCTGTGCTTGAACAGTTTGGTTTACAAAGTGATGGGATCCAGAGATCCGGTACATTACATCATATTAATCAATTCACAAAAGAAGAAAGAAGAAAAATCTAAATCACTACCCGGTGTGATTATTTCAAAGAGTTCCTGGCAGCTGGTTCCACAGGTCCAGGTCCTCTTTAGTCTGAAACCTGGAAACATCAGGTTCCTGTCTGAGGTCTTTAGACTGCCTGCAGGTGGAGAGTAACTCACAGGTATAATCAATATGTAGGTAATTTAAATTAATAGGTAATGAGAAGGATTTAAATATCAATCTCAAAGCCACCTAGCCGCCAGTGTGTGAAGATTCAGTGCAATTAAAATGAAAAACTGAAAGGATTCTGTGACACATATACATATACATATATATACATATACACACATATATATACATATATATGTGTATATATATATATACACACACACATATATATATATATATATATACACACACACACATATATATATATATATATATATATATATATATATATATATACACACACACACATATATATATATATATATATATATATATATACATATATATACATATATACCATAACATAACACCATACTAATACTGTGTTTGACCTCCTTTCGCCTTCAGAACTGCCTTAATTCTACGTGGTATTGATTCAACAAGGTGCTGAAAGCATTCTTTAGAAATGTTGGCCCATATTGATGGATAGCATCTTGCAGTTGATGGAGATTTGTGGGATGCACATCCAGGGCACGAAGCTCCCGTTCCACCACATAAAGATGGCCGAGGCAATAAAGAAGGGTGGCTCTGTGCTGGGGTCTGCTCTGGGGCCCCTGGAGTTGGTTGTGGAGAGAAGTTTGTTACACAAACTGTTTAACATCATGGACAACACTTGCTGTACAACCTGCTGGTTGGGCAGCAGAGTGTTTTCAGCGGGAGAAGGACAGAAAGTCATTCCTACCCACTGCAATCACAAAATACAAAAACTCCCCTCAGGGCAGGGAGAGGAAACTGAATGACACGTGAATGATAAATTACATTACATTATAGTTAAACATCATACTCAACACTCTCAATATTACCAAGTGATACTAAATTGCATTTTGCACAACCTGGATATACACACTGCTACACTTGAGTATACATTTCAGATTTGTAAACATACATTGTAAATATATCTGTATCTGTATATCTAGGGAGTGCTGAAAAATAATGGTGGCCCCACAAAATATTGAAATTTTGGGCCCAATTTGGACATTTTCATTTAGGGGTGTCGTCGTTTTTGTTGCCAGCAGTTTATACATTAACAGCTGTTTGATGTGTTATTTTGAGGGGACAGCAAATTTACACTGTTATACAAGCTGTACACTCACTACTTTACACTGTAGCTAAGTGTCATTTCTTCAGTGTTGTCACATGAAAATATATAATCAGATATTTACAAAAATGTAAGGGGTGTACTCACTTTTGTGAGATACTGTAATATACTGTATGTATATATGTCGGATTGTGCTACTGAAAGAAAATCTGGAGCACCTGGTGTCCTGAATCCTGCAGCTCCTGGACCTGTACTGGGCCTGTACCCCTCAGCCCTGCAGCAGAGAGGACTTTGTCTGTTCTGTCCTCTGCTCCACAGAGAAGAAGTAGACCCTGTAGTCTGTGTTAGTCTTAGACTACATCTAGCTGAGCCTCCTGGTCTCTGCTGCTCCTCAGAAAGGGACTGTCTGCATGCAGCATCTGTTTAAATGCACCGTGTGCACGCGGGGGGGCTGCACGTTGCTGTGTTGCATTCCTGCGGAGGGGTTGACCTTTGACCTGGTTGTTGCATTCCTCAGAGGCTCGTCCTGCAGCAGCAGCCTGCACTCACTGCTCCGGTGCTTCAGAGAGACGATGCGTGTGGAGCCGCTTTAGACCAGGACCTGGATCACAGCAGACTAGCAGACATCGCCGCCGTCCCGAGCTGATCGGAACACATTGTTTTGGGTCAACACACTGAAGCTATAACGCAGTTAGCCGTTAGCTGAGCAGCTGAATCGCTTTGTAGACAGCAGCTAGCCGCAGACACCGCGCAGAGGAAATGAAGGACAAACAAAAGAGAAAGAAGGAGCGGACCTGGGCTGAGGCGGCTCGCATGGTAAACACCCTGATTCAGCCTTTAGCTGTTAGCTGCACGGAGGTTCTGCTGGAGTGGGACGGGTCGAGATGTTTATTCTGCTCACGACCACAGCCAGCTAATGTTAGCTGTTATCGTAGCAGTGCTAAGCTAGCCAGCAGGCAGGTTGTGTTTAAATGTAACTGGGTGATGTGTTGGGGGTTTACATGTGCTGCATGTCGTTCTGCTGCTGACATAAAAAGCTACGCAACATGCTAACGCTGGCTAGCACGCTAACACCCAGCGCTGCTATTTTAAGCTCTTTGTTTGCTAGCAGGCTAACAGTTAGCTCTTTGCTAACGACCGTCTGATCTCCTGAATAACGTAAAATAAAAAAAACCTGCGACACGTTTACACACCACATGTGTTCAACAGACATTAGATAAGCTCCAAAAGTCCGCGTAATGCCCAGCTCGGGTTACTGAGGCTAATGTTGACGCTAACGGAAGCTAACTTAAGCTAATAGCAGCTGTGGTTCCTTGTTGGTTCTGAAGGTGCAGAAAATAAAATCAGAGCTATTCCAGATATGCAGCTGGAAGGACACGGAGACCCGGAGCCGGGCCTGGTGGTTCAGAACATTAGCTTCATTTATTGAATTAAAACACGGAGCAGGTAAAGGTGAGCTGCTGCGGCCAGGTCAGAAGTTCACCAGCAGGCCTCTGCTCTCTGCTGATACACAATATATAATGAAACAAACTCAACCTCGGTGTGTCTGAGAGAGAGGAGCTGCTGCTCTTGTTCAACAAGCTGTCCCTGTTTATACTGCAGGTGCAGTCCTTCTGCACCAGACCGGTCTGCGTTATTACAGTTGGGGTAGTACTGGACGGCTTGATACTGCAGGTCCAGTGCAAATCAGAGTCAGCTCAGCCTCAGTCAGAACTCAGGATCATCAGCTGCTGTGTTGGGATGCGTTAGGTTTTATAGGTGTACCTAATAAAGTGGCCTCTAAGCCTAAAGTTCAGTTCTTCAGCAGCAGCAGCCAAACTAAGTCATGCGTATGTCCGGTGTTCATGTTCAGTAAGACATGTTTACTGAAATATTAATGTTTCAAGGTCCTACATGTCCACAATTGGTTGATGAGCAGGAACCTGGAGCCCATTCAGACAGGAACCAGATTCTTCTGTACTCCTGATCAGACCTGCACTTCTTGCATCTGTAGTCGCTTTACAGACATCACAGCCAGACTTACTGTCCACTGTGGGACTTTATAAATCTGCCAGCAGAGTTCTTATTGATCAAAGTGTTCCTAATGTTGATTCAGGGCTTCACCTGTAAGAAGAGGGGCGACCGTTCTCAATTTTCAGTCTCTTAAATCCATTAATATCGTTACCTTTCTGCTCCTGGTTCTGTAACGGTCTGATATTGAGGACTGATCCAGGTTTAGACCGGTCTGTGGAAGAGAAGCAGCAGCGTGTCCTGCTTTAAATAGTCCTGGTGACTTTGCAGCGCTGCAGAGAGGACAGAGAGGTGAAGCACGAGAGAAATGGTCGTCTCTCTACTTTTAAACCTCTTCGCACACTTTGACCCGTCAAACTGCATCCAGAGAAAGAGCTTCTGGCTGCCAGCATCAGGCTCAGACTGTTACACCAGGTGTCTGACTACATCTTGGAAAGGGAGAGGAGTTTGTTGTGTACCAGGACTTTAATCCCTAACGTCACTCCAACTCCTCTCTCCAGCTCTGACTTTCCACCGGCGTCTTCCTGTGGCCACGGTTTTGACAGATTCAGAACTTTTCAGCGGCAACTTGTGAAAACACGGTCCAAGTTTAAAAATACAGAAATGACCCTTTAAAACCCGACATGGATCCAAATGATTCTTCTTGTCTGAGAAGTCGGCTGCAGGCGGATCAAAGCACAGTATGTTACTGTCTGCGAATGTGTCGCCCAGTCAGAAACAGAGATTTAGAAACCAGTCCACATGAAGGACGGACCTGCAGTCGACAGAAACCCAGGAGGACATTCAGCAATAATAGAAGATGATCAGTTTGTCATCGATTATGTTAACCATCAACTTTGACTAGAGCATCGTGTTGTAGTTTAACAAAGTTTTGTGGGCTTTTCTCTTCTTTCCTATCTGTGATGATGCTGATTAAATGTACTTATACTTTCTGTTTGAAGCCTGTCTCACACAGTATCTGGCTCTATTGATCACATTTCCAAATATTGATATTCGTATCAGCCTTAAAACATCTTCAGGCCCATTAATAATAATCTCTGCTACTGAGCCTGTCTCTTTGTAGGTCTCTGGTTTGTTGTGTTTCAGGTCCCGCACCAGACCTGTACTGGTGTCCTCTCTGTTATTGAGTGATGGGAAAACTTCCTGTTTCATCACCTGTGTGCTGAACGCTGTGTTCCTGTCTTCCAGGTGTTGGAGAACTTTTCTGATGCACCAATGACCCCCAAACAGATCCTACACGTCATCCAGACCAAGGGGCTGAAGGAGATGAGGTCACACACACACACACACACACACACACACACACACACACACACAGAAAGTGATGTTCTGAATAAAAGCTATCATAGAACCCAGGGACCTGTACCACGAAGCGAGTCCAACACCCCCAGGATCTCCTTTTGTTATCTGGCTTCACTAACCCTAATGATCAGGATCAGCGGTTGCACCAAGCTGGTTATCAGCTCAGTAAATCAACCCAGGGTTTCCTATCTGGCCATGAGTGCATCCACCTAAAAGAGGCAGAATTGGCAGCAGAAACGACGAGCAAACTGTGATATTAGACAGTCTGACAGAAATCTCCAACAGTGTGAACGTCTAAGTTAACAGGAGTAACCTATGATATGAATGTGTTGATTTAATGTGTTCTTACAGCAGCTATGAAAATACCAGCCTTATTCTTTCAGCTCGGCTGAATAAGCAGTCGCTCCAACTCATTTTTAGAACTTCAAACATCAGATTAATTTATTCAATGCACTCAAAGTGTTCCAAACATTGTTCTAAATTAATTTTATAAAGCGATGAAACCAAAAATCCATTCATGCCATAAAAGCTGCTCAGATAGTGGTGAAAGAATGTCAATTTCTTCCATAGACAAACTATATGCGCCGAATATTCAGGCTCACATACGAAAAATTAACCACGTTTATTTTACAGGCTGTGAGAAATAAAAAATCTAAAACGTGTTTCAAAGCAGTGAGCAAGTTAACTGTCACATGTTACGCTACAGGTACAAGGCTTTAGAGCTTCAGTCTCTGTAGGATGATCTCGCTGTTCTAAAGTTTCTCTGCAGTCTGTGGTATCTCCTCCTGATGGTGATGCCATTTCCCAGAGAGCTGATTGGTCAGTAGGTGGTGTTTTTATAAAGTTGATCTCTGATCTAGGACAGAACCTGCTCCGGAGCAGGTTAGTCGATCATCATCAGGTACCATGGCAATCTACCCGTCCTGAAAACCCAAGGTTAACCCAAAGTTACCTCGCTGACCTCGCTTCCTGCTTCGTACAGTCCCCTGACTGACTGATAAACCATAACAAACGCCACGCTGTCACCTCGGCGGCCATGTTGGTGAATGTGTTTGTAACTGAGCTGTTTTATTTTCTTCTGCATGACTCCCTGGCCGGCTGCTGACCTGAACAGGAGGTAGGTTTGAGGACCTTTACACTGATTCTGTGCAGCCTCAGATATTATTTTGTTTAAGAGTGGCCCTAACACTCTGCTGTAGTTAAACTCTTGCTATTCTCTGTTAACCGACTTGACACTCACAGACTACAGGTGCTTAAATGGAGTGGTTTTGATGACAGTTATTGGTTATCTCTGTTGCCTGCTTTAAAGTCCTGTTTGACTTTAATGTGGTCGTTTTCTAAGTTGCATCTGCAGAATGTGAAGATTGAACAGAGTCTGTGGTCGACAGTCAGATTAAAAAGCAAACCTGATACTCGTTCCCACCCTGTCTTTGGTCTTCAGAACTTTGACTATGGAAGATTGTAAGCTGATGATACACAGAGCAATCGTGCAGTGGTAATGAGTAACCACACCACACCACTCTGCCAGCCGCCCCGCCACTATCCATTCAAAACATCAGCGGACTTACCACTAGCAACATTGCTCAAAAAGTTGCCCCGTGTATCATCAGCTTTAGAGTCCTGAAGTGTTTTCAGCAACATACAAAGTTCTTGTTAGTGTTTCATCATTTATTAGGGAGGAACAGATAAACTCTGATATCATCGTAACAATATATTTATGTATCATAAAGATGATATCAAATCTGTGAAGAAAACCATAAACAGAATACAGCAGGAAGTGACATGACTTGGGCTGACCCTCAGTGTCCAGTCACATGAGTTGTAACTGTGTGTGTGTGTGTCTGTGTGTGTGTGTGTGTGTGCGCGCATGCACGCGCAGTGGCACCGCCCCCTTGGCCTGCCTGGTCACTATGCTGCACTCCCAGGTGAGGGGAGACCGGGTGAAGAACAGCATCTTCTTCAAGCTGCCAGGTCGGATGAGCCTGTTCACGCTGAAGGTAACTGAACCTGATCTGATGATTCACAGATGATCATATAGTCTGTGTTATCAGTATCACACCACAGGAAGCCGGGGGGAGGGGGGGGTGCGTTCTGATGTGCAGAGAAGGTCAAGTGATAACTGTGCTGTCATCTCTCTGTAGAAGAACGCCCTCCAGTGGACAAAGACAACATCGGAATCAGAGACGCCAGCCGAGCCTGCCGGCGGCACCGCCACCCCGTCTTCCAGCAGTGGCGCTCCTGCAGCAGGCTCGGCCGTGGCCCTGGTCGGCCCTAATGAGGCCGCCGAGCAGGAGAGCTGCGACTCCACTGAGACCACCGCTGCTAGCGGAGACAATGACGGTAAGACCACCTTTCCATCATGGGGGGAAACACAGAAAGCCAATCTGTTCTGGTTTAAAAACCTGCACACGTGTTCATGTTGGTGTGAGAAGGGTCCCAGTGTCCACACTCACAGACTGACAGACTTTGAGGCGCGTTCACAGTAAGTCCCTGAGGGCTTAGGACTGTCCCACTGTCAAATCATCAAGTGCGCAAGGGCTCTCTCGCGGACACTTTCAGCCCTTTTCGTAAGTCCGCATTCCTGGAGACTTTGTCAGAGGGAAATGCCCACACTTCATAGCGTTGTCACTTGAAACACGGGGAGTTACCAGGGGACGCCTGGAAGTGAAGGAAATATCATAGCAAATCTGCCAAGAATACTGCATTGATGATTGACAAATGTAGATTCACATTTACCTCTCCTCCACTCTGTAGGGCTGCAAGACTTAAAAATCAGGCAAAAACACAAAATGTTTGTGTGTGCAACATGTTTCAGTGTCGTCATGGTAACATGATAATGTGGCAAAGTGCTGTCCTGTTCCAGTTTACAGCATTTTGAGCCTTTGCAGCCTCTTATACTCAATCACTTTCTAAGTGACGTCAGTAAAGTCTGTGAGGGTTGAGGGCTTAGGGGGGACATTGGGTTTGGGCCTTAGACTCTGATCTTACAGGGTGCCTCAGTGGTGGAAAGGAGTGAGGGGCCAGTGCTCTTAGTTCGAGCAAGTGGTGAGAAAGGACTTGATTCCTACGGTGTCCCAGAGGGGCAGCATGGATTATGGATTCCTCAACCCTGGAGAGCTGTATTGTTCTGGAGTTACGCCAGGATCTCAGTCTGTACCAGCTTCCTCTCATCACTGCCTACAAGTAGAAAAACAAAAAGATGCTCAAACACCACAAACATTCAGAAAGTCAGAAATCACCTTTCGTCAACTTGTCTAGAAACACTGAGCTTAATTGTTCCGAGTTCTCCGTGAGGCCCACATGTACAGCCCCGTTCCTGCTGGACTGGTGCTGGAACCAGTGTTTCTCACAGAATGAACACAAAAGCACTTCAGCTGCGACAGAAGCTGCTGTTTTAAGATCTCAGTTTAAAATAAAATGTGCAATAATTGTCACTGCAGTTCTAGTCGGGCGTAAAGGTGAGTTTCAGGGAGCGCAGCATGTGTCTTATGTTGGGATGAAACGGTTTAATGATAAACCACGGTGATCAGTCACGGTAAATCCTGCCCAGCATCAACCAAAGCCAGCTGCAGCCTCCCAGACTCAGGCATTTGTCTGACTCACTAACAGCTTGGACACTGATGCTCTCAGTGTAAAAACTCTACACGTTGTTCTGTTGCTGTAGCGTTGTATGTCTGCAGACTCTGTTCACCCACTGCACATGATAACACAGTACACAGTTTAGTTTCATATCTTGTTCATTAAGAATTTGGCAGTTGTTGAATTGGTTGTGTTTGAACAGAAGAAAGTCTGCAGACTCCTGATAGACTGTCTGTAGGCTTCTACGTCACTGTCTTCATGTAAACTCATACTTTGTTATGCACATTTTATATGGTGTTGCTAATCTTTGTGGTGTTTAATGTAAACTTGATGAAATGGTTTCATCACATTTTAACAACACCACAATAACACTGATACCTATGGTCAATTTGGTCACAGCCCTGTAAATGTGTTGTTTTTCCCTGACCTGCAGCCTCGGTGGATGAGAGCTCGTCCAGTGCCTCCTGCTCCACAGAGCTGCAGGCCCCTAGCCAGCCCCAGACCCGCCTCAGCAGGGCAGCAGGACAACAGGGACGTACAGATGCACAGCAGACCCAACACGCCCAGACCAGGCTGAGCCGCTCCAGACAGGTCCGCACCATTTTAGAAGATTCATGGTGTACAGTAGGATCTGAGAGCATCTCTGTTTCAGAGTTGAATGTGAGCATGGAGACCTGATCCCCTTAACATACTAACTCCACCTGTCCGTCCCACAGTCGGGGAGGCAGAGGAAGAAGGCGGTGATGATGCCTCGTGTGGTCCTCACCCCTCTGAAAGTGAACGGAGAACACGTCCCCTCAGGTAAGAGGCATTCCTCTGTCTTCAAACTCCACAGCAGTAATGAAAGTCTGATAGGGGACTGGTCAGACCTCCTCCTGAACCAGGAAAGCTTACAGATAAAACCTTTTATTGAATCCATCTCTGTCTGAAGCAGCGGCCAGCTTTGTGCTGCCCTGTACGAACCTGGAGCTGCAGGTAGCTTTAGCATCGTGCACAGCGGCTCAGGTAACTGTGCTGTTTGCTGTTGCAGGGCCCATGAAGAGGAGTCGAGGAGGGGTGGACGTAGACTTTGAAACGCCAGGCTCCATCCTGGTCAACACCAACATCCGAGCCCTCATCAATGTGCGGACCTTCTCGGCCTTCCCTTCACACTCGCAGCAGCAGCTGCTGCAGTTGCTGCCCGAGGTGGACCGACAGGTGTGTGTTTCTGTCCTTACCTTCACCCTCAGCTCTAACGTCTGCGGCGATGCATCTCATACTAGGGCTGCAACGATTAGTCCAAGTAATCGACGACATTGACTATAAAAATTTGTTGATGTGAAATTTCATTTTCGGGGAGAGAGAGCAATCTTCATATTAGGAACATTTCTGATTGTTTATTTCTAACTGCAGTGCACTACAGGAAGTGCTGGGGGCAGTATCGCTTCCAATGTGTGCTATGACTGCTTGACTGTTAGACTACTCCCGAAGAAGAAGCGTTCATGTGAGAAGCTGAAAGTAACGGAGAAAGAGGCGAACAGCAGAACGGCTTTCATTTTTACAAGTTTTGTACTTAGATACACTTTTGAGCGGGTTTGAGAAATCAACTGTGTAGAATTTTAATATTGGAAGTTTAACCAAAGTTGATGGCGAATCGAAAATGTGCTCAAATGTTTTCGGGGTTGAGAAGCTCCACAAGCGCCAGCGAGGTTAGCGGGGCGGGCGGGCCGGCCGGCCAGTCACGCCCACAGAGCGCCCTGGTCCCAGTTACTCAGACCATTGCAGCAGCAATAACAGAGGAAAGGCAGTGTTTCCTATATGTTCATTTATGTGTGGTGGTCTGCCACAATATCAACGTGACCGGCACATACTGATTTTTTTATTTTTTTATTTTACTAGGCCTATTTAAAATCTTATTTGATTGCAGATCAGTGTTGTAGCGCATTCGCGCAGCACATCCTCTCGCTCGTCTGTCTCCCTCATGAACACCGCAGCACAAATCTGTCCAACACAACGCTGGCAGACCCAGCTTTAAAAAAGTTACTATGAGTAATGGTTTAAAGTACATCAAGGAACATCTGGCACGTGATGTAGCCTACAGAACATCAGGCTCCAGTGAGTTATTGCCTAAAACCTATAAGCACTTTTGAAAAATAAAGTACAGAAGTAGTATGAAAGGGGCTGTTGCTTTATTCTAAATAGACATTACATTGTTAGTAGTTGTGGTTATAGTACTTGCTGTTAATTTGCTTTTATTTTATATAGTTCAAAGGAAAAACAGTTAAAAGTTTTAAAGTTTGTATAAATCAGTGAATTATAGGAGGAGCCTACGCTGTCTTGTCGTCTTCCCTGGCGTTGATACTGGTGTTCATTCTGAATAGTAATAATAATAATCTTTATTTGTAGAGCACTTTTCAAAAACAAGTTACAAAGTGCTTTAACAAGTGTAAAGACAATAATACAAAAACAATACAAGATAAAGAAAAGAAAAGACTAAAATACACGTTTAAGATAAATATAAAATTAGTAAAATAAAAGTAAGATCGGGAAAGGCTCTCCTATAAAAGTATGTTTTATAGGAGAGTAAACCTCATTCACTTAATGGTAACGCTAGCTAGTTAGACTGTGTGTTGGAGATCAGTGATTCGCTTGAAAGATATTTAATTAGTTAAATGGTTTAATTAGGGTTAGGGGGTGAGAAAAATAATGACTAGTTGACTAATTGAATAAATAATAAACAGATTAGTCGACTATGAAAATAGTCATTGGTTGCAGCCCTATCCCATAATAATACTCTCACACATACAGATATAGAAAGAAGAAAAGAACCAAATGTAGTACACAGCAGGACGTCACAGACCAGAGCTTGCTCCAAATGGTGAATTTAAAGTGAACTAGCTGCTCAGTGTGTTGCTGGCTTTGCCTTCAGTTCTAACACATGTTTTGAGTTGCTGTTAATGAAGAGGAAAAGACCCAAACATGGAGTGCTGCTCTACCTGGGTGTCACCACATCAACGTGTACATTTAGTCTTAGGACCAGAAAACATGGAGCTTCAGTGTTTGATTGTGGTGGGTGGACCTCAGACATTTTAAAGTTAAATGCATTAATCTGGTGCATATTGCGAGCAAAATTAGAAGGCGTGGAACCACACGATTGATTGGCTTTCTAGCGGGACGGGCGGGATAACCACCATCTTTGCCGTTACAGGTTTTCCCCATAGAGTTGTACTGGGGATGTGGTTGAGTGGCCTGTCTCCTCTGCAAAAGAGCAGGCCGTGTCCTCTAAAGAAAAGTGTTCGTCTTGAGTCGGATGCCGAAGTGTGTGAGCGTGAAAGCTGACAGCAGCTGCACAAATGTTGTTATGAGAAGAAGAATAATATATATAGTGCATTTAAATAATGGGTTTACGAAGTGCTGCACAAGGAAAAACAAAGCGTAGAAGACCTAAAACATAGACAACACACAAACAAAGGCAATCGAAGGGCAACAACAGAAGACCAGCAGCTCTCATGCTGGGTTAAAAGCCAGCGAAGAAAAGAGTTTTCAGACAGGATTTAAGTTTGTCAATGTCACATTGAAAAATGATATTTGTTCTGCACACGTATCAGCAGTCACTTTGGAGCCTCAAGCAACAAAGTGCACAGGTGTGTTACTTCTGGGCAGCCAGTTTTCTGAAGCTGGGTCACATACTGTGAAATCCAGGACTTGTTTAGTCCTTTTAGGTCTGCCAGTCTGATGTGTGTGAGGCTTCGCTTTATCCCTCTGGTGTGTTCATTGTTTTACTGCTCTCACTTTGCAGATTGGACCTGATGGTATGGCCAGACTGAGTAGTTCAGCTCTCAACAATGAGTTCTTCACCCACGCCTCTCAGAGCTGGAAGGAGAGGCTGGCTGAGGGTAAGTGATTGGTCAGTCATGGACCAGCCGAGACCTCTGCCAGGCCTAAAACCTGATGGGGACGTTTTCATGACTGCACCTAGTGATCAAACGGTTGTTCTGAAGAAAGTGAGGGAATCATACCTGCCAGTGAGAACCCACAAGAAACCCAAAAGGCAGCAATGAGCTCCATCAGTTCCTCATATGGTGTGAATGAAAGGAGGCCGTACAAAATCACTTCCTGTCTGACCATTCTGATGGTAGCACTGTCCTGGAGCATTCCTACAACACCAGCTGCTGATTTAACGAAAAGAGAAAGGCAGCTCAGTCACGTTCTCGCTGAAAATCGCCCTGGCTTAGGCTTCTCAAAGTTCAGTTGTGGAGCCGCTCTTTTAAACCTTCATGTGTTTGACCCGTTTAGGTGAGTTCACCCACGAGATGCAGGTGCGTTTCCGGCAGGAAATGGAGAAAGAGAAGAAGGTAGAGGCGTGGAAGGAAAAGTTTTTTGAAGAGTACCACGGGCAAAAGTAAGAGCCAAGTCTGAATTCACTGTTCACACAGCTGCCATGTTAGGTCACAGTGTGGGGGAGTGTCATTTCAAGCTAGATCTGTTAACGTTTAGTAGAACAAAACGGCCGCAGGTGTCAGTAGTATTAATCAGAAACACCTTGATGTTTATTTTTGACCACATGTCTAAGCCACTTCTTTCCGTGTCCTGCTGTACAGCGGGGCCGTGACCTTCATCAGTCATGGCCGCTCTGCCTAACGTCCGTGTTTCCGCAGCGTGCTGACATGTTGTTTGTTCACCTGCAGGTCCGGCCTGACGCAAGAGGAGTCCCTGAAGCTTACCATGAGTGAAGCCAGCGAAGTGGCGGCGACTGTGCTGGAAAGCGATGTGGCTGTGGTTGCAACCGGTGCCCCCAAGAGACGCAGTGTGGGTCGGCGGAGGAGAGATGGGCGGATGAGGAGACGCACGCGGGCGGACCTGCGCCGCAGGGCCCGCCGGACCCTCTGCAAGGCAACTCCTCCGGCCCTGCAGGCTGCAGAAGCCACAGAGACCAGCGCCGCCCTGGACATCTCAGCGGTCTCTGTTGGCTCACCCATGTCCGACAACACGGTGGTTCAGGGCGAGGTGGTGCTGCAGGCTGAGTGTGGCGTGGAGCTCCCAGTTGAGAGCGCCTCCACAGAGCCAAAGCCTTCTCCCACTACAGAGCCGGTCACATCCCCAGCGCCCACTCCCGCTCAAACTCCTACTACTCCCACTCCTACACCCACTCCCACTCCCACTCCCAGCCCCAGCCCCAGTCCAGCCTCCACCAGCGCAAACGAAGAGCCCGAGGTTACGGCCCGCTTGCTTCCAGAAGAGGCTGCACCTGTACTGGCTTCCACCTCCACCTCCTCCTCCTCCTCCTCCTCCTCCTCTTCCTCCTCCTCTTCCTCCTCCTCCTCTTCTTCGTCTGCCTCCTCGCCCGCCTCCTCACCCTCCTCACCTTCTGACAGACAAGGAGCTTTTGCCACAGGCCTCGACTCTTCTTCGTCCTCCTCGGCATCCTCCAGTGCTGCAGTCGCCGCCGACCCCCTGGATGACACCGCCTCAGTGGTCACCTCCGTCACAGGGGGTACCGCCACCAGCAGCCGTGAGAGCAGCCCCTCCGCCAGCCCAGCCGCCACCCCTGTCCCCAGCGCCCAGCTCAAGGAGCAGAAGAGAAGGCCCGATGAGGCTCAGGCTTTCTCCAGCTTCCCCGAAAAGAGGCCGCGGCTCGACGACCGTCAGTCCTTTCGTACCACAATTGACGGTGTCCGTTCGGAGAAGCCGCAGCCGACAACCGAGGAGCCCAAGGTCCCGCCTATCCGGGTAAGACTTTGTTGTATGAACTTAAAGGTTATCGGTTCACAAGATGTGTGCACAGAAATTATTAGCTTGACCAGAAAGTCAAGAGTTGTTATGCAAGTGAAGTTTGACCCGCTGTTCTTTTGTCTCTGTCCCAGATTCAACTGTCCAGAATCAAACCTCCCTGGGTCAAAGGGCACCCCACCTACCAGATCTGCCCACGCATCGTGCCCCCCGGCGAGGGGTCGCGGCGGTCGGGGACGGGGGGCGCGCGCACCCTGGCGGACATCAAAGCCCGCGCCCAGCAAGCCCGCGCCCAGCGCGAGGCCGCTGCTGCTGTTGCAGCCACTGGCGACGGGGCAGGGCCGGTCGGGGTCCGGCTGCGGCCTCCTGCTGGGCTACCGGATAGCAGCAATGGACGAAGAACGCGAGAGCACCCAGGACCTATCGAGCCCGGAGGAGGAGGAGGAGGAGGAAGTGGAAGAAGGGGAGGTGGTGGGATGGAGGAGCAGGGATCGTCTTCAAGCTCTAATTCGTCTGGAACACAACTACAGCTTCTCAATGTAGAGCCCACGCCCCAGCCTTCCCCTTCCCTGTCCACAACATCAACTTCCATGTCCCTGGAGCTCCCACAGACCCCAAGTCCTCCTCGTGAGGAGGCAGCTGGAGGTCCTGAGGCTGTAAAGGAAATACAAGCAACATCAGCCAGTGCCCAGAACTCCTCCAACGGGCTCCCAGACAAAGCAGTTGACTCGCCCTCTCCAGAACCTGACCCTGAGTCTTTGGCCACCCAGCGGGCCAGGCAAACCCAGAGGCCTGAGTCTGCTTCAGTCCCCTCAGAGAGGGTAGGTCAGGGTTGTGAAAAACCATCCCTGGCCCCAACCTCCATCCCAGATTCCCTTCCCAGATTCGGGGCTCAGGGTGTGGATGTGATTCAGACGTTGGCCAGCTCCTGTCAGCCCAAAGACCAGGTACACGGGAAGGAGTCTGGACTGGGTGGTGTTATCCAGCATGGCTCCCACCACGTGGACCCCCAAGACGTGTTATCTCACTCAGCTACAGAGCGACAGCAGACAGACGCATCTTCTCTCCGACACATGGACGAGGCTGGGACACACAGCGACTCCACCGAGACCGCTTCGGACTGTGAGAACGAGAGCCAGGACGACGATCAGCAGCAGCAGCCGGACCAGGACTGGATCCCCAAACTGAGCACCCAGAGAAACGGCCAGCTGGTCATCTGCAGCCCTCCTCCTCAGAACCAGCAGCCAGTCATCCAGGCCCACGTGTCCAGCCGTCAAGGCCAGACTGTCATTCAGCCTCGTTTCCCCAATGGCCTGCCCCACCCCCAGTACAGCCGCCCCCATTCCCAGGACCACCAGTCCCTCCCCACAGCCCACCCGCAGGGCCCCAGGGACACCAACGTTGTGGTCAAAATGGAGCCTGGAGATGACTGTAGAGTCTTCAGACAGACTCCTGCTGAAGAGGAGTGCCGTGGAGGCTTAAAGCCCTCTGTCGCTCACCCAGCAGCTGCAGCTGCCTCCAAGAGGCTGGCCAGCTCTGTCAGACCAGTATCCAGTGTGGAGGCCAACAACCCTTTGGTCACTCAGCTGCTACAGGGCAGCCTGCCCCTGGAAAAGGTTCTGCCCTCACACACTGCCAACAGGCTGGAGATCAACCGATTGCCAGGACCCCAACCTAGACCGCCAGTGGCAAGGACCCCAGTGCCACGCAGGCCTGAGATCTCAGCCCAGTCTCCTAGCCTCGAACTGACTGCAGCCTCAGAGATCCACAACAAGTCTCCAACAGGCCGCCCAGTCTCCTGTCTGATGGAGGCCCCAGCTGCATCGCAGTACCAGTCCCAGTCCCAGCAGGCCCCTGGGGCTGTCCCGGTCATCACCTCTCTGCCACCCTCCTCGTCCAGAAGTAAGTCAGACCTTGGCTCTCAGTCCGCTGTGGAGTCTGCGGTTATCAAAGACTCTCACGGCCCTCAACCCTCACAGGGGACGTCTCCAGACAGGCCCCAGCCCTCCCACCGGACCATGCCTAATGGCCCCTCTCCTCCCCATGCAGACCCCTGTCCTACGGAGGTGTTGCCTACTATAAAGATCAACTGGCGGCCCCCACATTCTCAGCCCCCCCAAACCCACCAACAGCAGCTGTCTCCAGCCCCCACCGTGAAGAGTGAAGTCGGTGCACGGCCCTCCTGCCAGGCCCTTACCAAGTCCCCCCCCCTTAAACCCATGAGAGTTACCAAAAAGGAGCCGGGGGGCTCTATGGATGGCTACTTGAGTGGGGGGGCCATGGAAGGACTCCTCAACATGGAGATGACTTTAGCCAGGATGGCGAAGAAGGAGTACAGCAAAGGTCCCTACTCCTCCGGGTCCCCGTCCTCCTCCTCCCCCTCCCCCTCCTCCTCCGCCTCCTCCCTTCCCTTCCAGCTGTATGGGAAGTTCCCCAAACAAGGGGGAGGCAGAGGAGTGAGCTACACCGCCAACCTATCGGTGATGGACAATGGCGGTTTCTCCCGGAGCATGGCGGACGGTGTGCTCCAGCTGCGGCCCCGCTTGGCCTCCAGCCAGACCACCCTGAGCATCCAGGCCTTCACTGACAGCACGGCCGAGGAGGTGGCGCTGAAGTGCTCATGTCGCCTCAAAGCCATGATCATGTGCCAAGGCTGCGGTGCCTTCTGCCATGACGACTGCATCGGGCCCTCCAAACTGTGCGTGTCCTGTCTGGTGGTCAGATAGTATGTTGAAGTCCCTATGCACTGTAGAACTGGTCTCTGTGCAGGACCGGCAGCAGGCCCCGGGCTCCACAGTGTACAGATGCCTGATTAGGGTGGAGCACACAGGAGGAGTCTGACGGGCAGGAGTTGCCTTGTATATTATAATTGGTCTGTATTTTTCTGTTGTTGCAGATTTTTTTTTAGCTGTACTGATATTATTATTATTATTATTATTATTATTATTACTATTATTATTCTTGTGAATTTGGGGCATGATTGATTGTAAATTGTGCCTTTTTTTTTGTTTTCTCTCCTCAAAAACATTTACCTCATCTTATCTTGCTCCGCCTGTCATTGGTCGGTGGCCATCATTGTTTGGGTCCCTCGGGACGTCCTGTTGTCTCTCTGCGCAAAGAAGTATTTTTTTAACCATTAAAATGAGTAAATGACGTCGTTCCACTGCTTTGTGTTTGGATTCTTTCATGTTTAAACTCTTTCTGTACTTAAATGTTCAGGACAATGAACGAATAAAGTCCTCCAACATGAGACCCAGACGGGCCTTTTACCTGCAGACTGGTCCAGGACATGTGTCACCACCACATCACACTCTTTGTTATTGAAGGACAGGAGCAGCGTGAAACAGGCTTTTTCCCCACATTATTAATTTCAACATTTGAGTCTATTCGTTTTGTTTTTCTTTTTAACAACCCTCTGTTCTGTTCTGGTACTTTCTGAGTAACTAATGGTTAAATTTACTCTAAAGTAAAAACACCGCATCTTAAGAGGTGTGACTGTGTTGGACTGGAAACCTGACTGTTCTGTAAAGCACTGAGTTTGTCACTGTAGAGTGAGAGCAGTTGCATTCTCTGAGCACTGCAGTTGTCTTTCCCTGGGAATTCACCTTCACAGCTTTCCTAAAGGAAAACTGGTTAGAAAAAGGACTTTTGAGTTTTCGACTGCAGCCCAGGAGAGAGAACCTGGGCTGGCAGGACATGATGTGTACTCTGATTTCAAACCACACTGCTACTGATCAGGTGCTGGCTTCTGTTTTTATTCTTTCACTTGACAAAGAAGACGAACTTTACATTTTAACTAAATATGAAGCATCATCCCTTGACCGCTGGTATAACACTTAGGGTGGGTGTTTCCACAGCAACAACTCATGGTAATAATCTGGAAAGTGCTGTTTTTCCTTTAGAGTGTGGTGTTTCTGCATGCAAAAGAAACAATATGTAGAAGTTTGAGTCCACATTTACTGCGGGTTAACCTTTATTTCAAGAGCAACTTAAAGACTAATCCATACACAGCCATCATTAACACATAGACAATACAAAATAAATATTCACCATCACTTTGTTCTTCATCACCAAATAAATACCAAATATGTGCAGCTCGATATTCCCAGTGTATTGCAATGTACTCAAAATAGTTTGACAATAAAAAGGAAAATCATATAAACAGAAACACCAACAAAAATTTTTAGAAAATTATTAAAAAACTTTCAGTTACAAAATATTTGCACTTAAAAAGATCCCAGTATTTTAAATAAATAATAAGATTTATAAAACAATTCATGGTTGATATCTTAAAATATTTCCTCTTTGTTCTGCAATGCTGAGGAAATGATTCCCTTCTCTTGGTCACCGTTTAAAATCTTCTCAGGTAGCATTTTGAAATAAGAAACAAACGCAATAAATAGATAATGATAAAATAAAAAAAAAGAATACAGCAGACATGAATAAATAAGTTATTAAACCAACATTTGCAGAGGACTTAAATAGTTACACAGCAATAGTAAGAATGAATCTACAAACTAGTCCTGGAGGTGCAACATCACGATGCTCATACAGATACTATCAACATTATGTGTTCACTAACTAAGGGAATGTGCTCAGCTTGGCCGCTGTACCTGCAGACGTTACATCCACAGCGGGATGCGCCCACGCTCACACCGCCATAAAGCAACATGCAAAGAACAGAGGACAAAGTTCCAAATAAGAAGAATGAAGTACAGACTGTATCTAAAGGTTTCTGAAAGAAAGACTGGTGTGGTCACTGCGGCGCCCTGCTCCCGTCTGTCACACCTCGATGCCCTTCACCGCCTGGTTGATGGACTCGAGCAGAGCCCGGTTCTCAGGGTTCTGGTAGCAGTCTTTATTGGTAAACATGTGGGTCAGGGTTTCTACGTAGCTGTCAAAGTTCTGCTCGGACAGCGGCTCCTGCTGAACACACACACGTAACAGACTTTGTTACACAAAAGAACACAGAAGAATCATTTTGTTGAACACGTAACATGAAACCAGCGGAGACCTGTCTGAACTGAACCTCTAGTTTTAAAACTGCAGCTGAGACCTGTTGATGGAAGCTCACTTAGCCTAAATTTATATCCAAAACACAGTTTCTGCCTCCGTCATGATGGCAGCGAGCTACCACACATCGGGAACAGGGTGGAGTTCACCTGGACACCTGGACAGGATCAAACAGGGACGTGTGATCAGTGGAAGATCTGCTGAGCTGTGTCAAGTCTCTTCAGAGTTTAGTCTCAAGTGAAAAGTATTTGATAAATGTCTAACAATGACTACATTGGGTCACATGTAAGCTTCAAGTCATGGCACCAACATCCCAAGTCAAGACAAGTGAGTTTCAAGTTACCAGTTGGACAGAAAAAGAGAGCGGATGGTCTCACGTTCCACCTCCTGACAGTTTACTGGTCCAGTCTTTTGTTTCTTCCTGGTACCTTCATCTGCCTTCATCTCAGCAAAGATAAAGTCTGAGTGAGGCCACAAGTCTCTGGTGTTCAAGTCAAAGTTGAGTTACGAGATCAGAAGTAACGAGTCCACAATTCGGTCTCAGGTACTGATGTGTGGTCAGTTCTGGTACTGCGTTATGGAGCCATGTTGCTACCAGTGGCTCCCAATGGCCCGGTTAGCGCGGCTCATTCACTGAGAATTCATTATTTGCTCCCCCAGAGGTGAGATACCTCGGGGCTGTGGGTATGGGGGGGCAGAAGGAAACGTGTAACTCACCATGGTGGGCAGGCGGATATTGGCCAGGCTGCGAATCAGGGCCTGACTCAGGCCAGAGAGCTCCAGGAACAAGGCCTCGTTCCTCTCCTCGATCTGTTTGTTCTCCTCCTCCATGCTCTGCAGGTTCTTCTCCATCGAAGAGATCTGAAGCAGACATAACACAGTCCTGAAGCAGAGCACAAATATTCACCGGCGTCCTCGTCCTGCAGCGAGCTGAGCTCACCTGAGAGTGCAGGTTCATCATGTCGGCCTCCATCTCTGAGTTGGACTCGTGCAGCTCGTTGATCTCAGTGTTGAGCTGCTTGATGTCCTCGTCGTTGTCCAGAACTGAGTGGGAGCAACAACAGCACAGGTAACGGTTAATCTGACTACTGCCGTAGAATGTCTGGAGAACATCTGAGTTGCCACTGTTATTTTCTGAATGATTCGATGTCTCCATGTCGTAGAAGTAATAGTTTGGGAGACTATTTGGCAGAAGAAGTGTCCCTTACCGTCACTGGCTCTGAACTTTGCAGTAATGTACTCGTCTCCGGGGAACTTGGCTCTTTTCTTATTGGCCGACGCTCTGGGACAACCTGACAGGCTAAGAGAGTAGCTGATTAGGACGGGGCCCCTCACACTACACTGCTCATTTATGTATTTATTAGGGGTGTGACGAGGCACTTAACACACGAGATGAGATTCGAGATTGGGTTCACAAGATCGAGACAAGACGAGATTTTAACACTATTTTTAAGAAATCTTTAGTGCTGAATTATATAAATTTCTGATTATTTTTTCTGCACCAGTTTATGGTGAAAATGTTTTTATTCATGTAAAGAGAAGCACAAAATTCAAGTGGCAGGTGACAATTCAAACTCTATAACTCTAACTGTACCAGAATGTTAGCCAGTGCAGTTCTCAGCTCTGTTCTCCTGTAGATCCCTGCTAAGTCATGGTTTAGTCTTGCCTCCTCTTTGTGTCTTTGTTTTGAGAAGTAACCTATTTAAATGTGCATGTGGCTTCTTTTCACCTCAATAACAAATGATTTCATTTTAATTTCACTTTTAATCTCCTGGACTCTAATAGTTTCTGTGTTTCAGCAGCTTTTCTGCTCATGTTCAAAACTTTATGCGCATTCAGAATCTCTCCCACATATCTGTGTTCTCCGACATGTCCAGAGAAAAGGCAGAATATTCCCAGACTAACGTCACCATCTGTTGATGCCCTTTACTCTGCAGTGCATTACATTATTGATCTGCTGGTAGTAACGTTATCCCCTTCGGACCGTTTGACCAATGCAGTTTGGGACTGCATGTGAAACCGAAAGTAAGTGAAACACTTGTGATCAGGCAGAAATCTCCCCACAAATCCGCACACGTTAACTTCAGCAGCTCATAAAGTGCAGCTCACAGTCACACACTGAGCAAGTTTGCAGTTTTTCTCAGTTTTTATATGTTTATGTTGCAAAACTCTACTTGCTACGTTACCACTCGTCACAGCTGTCTGGACTCACAGCGAGAGTGATTCAGTTGATTACTATCAGGGCGTACACCGGTGTTGCATCAGCTGGGTGTAGTTGATTGATTCGATCTTATGTTATAATGACATTTGCATTTCACTGCGTGAGAAAATTAATGTGTGGCTTGACAGCATGTGAAAAATGTCAACTGCGTGAGTCTCGCAAGACAGCTTTTTACCTGAGGACAAATCTTGTCATAATTTAATCTCGCGGGATCTTGTGGTACGAGATCTCGTCACACCCGCAGTATTTATACATCTTGATTTAAAGAGTGAACATAACAAAGAAGTCCTGAGGTAGAAGGACTCAGACCCAGCAGAGGGTCAGTCTGGACTCTATCTGAAACTGATCTGTGCATGCTGATACTCAGATATTCACGATACCTGCGGTGCGTCAGGAAACTGCCGTTAGCGTGTCCGGAGCCGTCACAGCCTGGTGTCGGGCAGGTCGGGCCTTCAGTCTTGAAGGCCTTCCAGGAGAAGGGAGTTCCATTAAGGAGCCCTTCCTTCTGCCGGCGTGCTGCCAGCGGACAGCCGTAGGCACTGCGGTGGGTGGCGTACTTCCCACTGATGTGGCCCAGACTGTCACAGCCAGGAACCGGACACCTGCAGACGGACAGAGAGCCATTGTGTTTTAGCTGTAGTTAGGAGTCTGCTGAGTGAAATGTGTGTTTTCTCAATAGCACAGATGTGTCAACAGATGCTTTCATACAATGATCCCTCAACAAACGCAGAAAGAAGATCCGCCAATCTGCCGTTCATACTAAACCAGCGTTTGCGGCATAATCCCGCAACCATGTGTGCTTTCACATGGTGATCCGGCTTTCAAGAATCTGGAAGCGTAGAAAAAGACCATCACGTGTCACACAGCACTGGCATGCTGGCTGTGGCTTTTCACACAGACATCAATTCATCTCTGTTAATACCAACATTCCAGACTCAGAGGCGGATTAAATCTGACCCCCCTTTTCTGGCTCTGTACCTTTCATACAGCATAGCGAGCCGGCATATTGGTGCAAAACTCCTGGAAAATAAGGCAGCGGCAAGGGGCCTATTGATACGTTCCATTGTTTCCTAATCAGTAAATCCATATAATATCTATGTATAAATGTACATTCCGTCATCATGTGCAGGAATTATTCATTTGATTGAGTCAGTGTGCAGAAATGATGCAGCCAGCCTCTGCACAGGTATGGGCTGTGGGTTTTACAGGCTCTTATAGAATATGCTCTTATCTATATATCTATCTATCCATATATCTATATATCTATGTATCCACATATCGATATATCTGTATATCTATGTATCCATATATCTATATATCTATGTATCCACATATCGATATATCTGTATATCTATGTATCCATATATCTATATATCCATATATCTATATGTATCACATATCGATATATCTATATATCTATGTATCCATATATCTATATATCTATGTATCCACATATCGATATATATGTATATCTATGTATCCATATATCTATATATCTATGTATCCATATATCTATATATCTATGTATCCACATATCGATATATATGTATATCTATTTATACATATATCTATATATCTATGTATCCACATATCGATATATATGTATGTCTATTTGTACATATATCTATATATCTATGTATCCACATATCGATATATCTATGTATCCATATATCGATATATATGTATATCTATTTATACATATATCTATATATCTATGTATCCACATATCGATATATATGTATATCTATTTATACATATATCTATATATCTATGTATCCACATATCGATATATGTATATCTATTTATACATATATCTATATATCTATGTATCCACATATCGATATATGTATATCTATGTATCCATATCTATATATATATCTATGTATCCACATATCGATATATCTGTATATGTATGTATCCATATATCTATATATCTTTGTATCCACGTATCGATATATCTATATATCCATGTATCCATATATCTATATATCTATGTATCCATATATCTATATATCCATATATCTATATATCTATGTATCCACATATGATATATCTGTATATCTATGTACACATATATCCATATATCTATATGTATCCACATATCGATATATCTGTATATCTATGTATCCATATATCTATATATCTATGTATCCACATATCGATATATATGTATATCTATGTATGCATAAATCTATATATCTATGTATCCACATATCGATATATCTATATTTCTATGTATCCATATACCTATATATATGTATCTATATTTCTATGTATCCACATATCGATATATCTATATTTCTATGTATCCATATACATATATATGTATCTATATTTCTATGTATCCACATATCGATATATCTATATTTCTATGTATCCATATACCTATATATATGTATCTATATATCTATGTATCAACATATCGATATATCTATATTTCTATGTATCCATATACATATATATATATGTATCTATATTTCTATGTATCCACATATCGATATATCTATATTTCTATGTATCCATATACCTATATATATGTATCTATATATCTATGTATCAACATATCGATATATCTATATTTCTATGTATCCATATACATATATATATGTATCTATATATCTATGTATCCACATATCGATATATCTATATATCTATATATCCATGTATCTATATATCTATGTATCCACATAGATATATCTGTATATCTATGTACACATATATCCATATATCTATATGTATCCACATATCGATATATCTATATATCCATGTATCCATATATCTATATATCTATGTATCCATATATCTATATATCCATATATCTATATATCTATGTATCCACATATGATATATCTGTATATCTATGTACACATATATCCATATATCTATATGTATCCACATATCGATATATCTATATATCCATGTATCCATATATCTATATATCTATGTATCCACATATCGATATATCTGTATATCCATGTATCCATATATCTATATATCTATGTATCCACATATCGATATATCTGTATATCCATGTATCCATATATCTATATATCTACGTATCCACATATCGATATATCTATATATCCATGTATCCATATATCTATATATCTATGTATCCACATATCGATATATGTATATCTATGTATCCATATATCTATATATCTATGATCCATATATCTATATATCCATATATCTATATATCCATGTATCCACATATGATATATCTGTATATCTATGTACACATATCCATATATCTATATGTATCCACATATCGATATATCTATATATCCATGTATCCATATATCTATATATCTATGTATCAATATCTATATATCCATATATCTATATATCTATGTATCCACATATGATATATCTGTATATCTATGTACACATATATCCATATATCTATATGTATCCACATATCGATATATCTATATATCCATGTATCCATATATCTATATATCTATGTATCCATATATCTATATATCCATATATCTATATATCTATGTATCCACATATGATATATCTGTATATCTATGTACACATATATCCATATATCTATATGTATCCACATATCGATATATCTATATATCTATGTATCCACATATCGATATATATGTATATCTATGTATGCATATATCTATATATCTTTGTATCCACATATCGATATATCTATATATCCATATTTCCATATATCTATATATCTATGTATCCACATATCGATATATCTATATTTCTATGTATCCATATACCTATATATATGTATCTATATTTCTATGTATCCACATATCGATATATCTATATCTATGTATCCACATATCGATATATCTGTATATCCATGTATCCATATATCTATGTATCCACATATCGATATATCTGTATATCTATGTATCCATATATCTATATATCTATGTATCCACATATCGATATATATGTATATCTATGTATACATGTATCCATATATCTATGTATCCACATATCGATATATCTATATATCTATGTATCCACATATCGATATATGTATATCTATGTATCCATATATCTATATATCTATGTATCCACATATCGATATATATGTATATCTATGTATGCATATATCTATATATCTTTGTATCGTCATATCGATATATATGTATATCTATGTATCCATATATCTATATATCTATGTATCCACATATCGATATATATGTATATCAATGTATGCATATATCTATATATCTTTGTATCCACATATCGATATATCTATATATCCATATTTCCATATATCTATATATCTATGTATCCACATATCGATATATCTATATTTCTATGTATCCATATACCTATATATATATGTATCTATATTTCTATGTATCCACATATCGATATATCTATATTTCTATGTATCCATATACCTATATATATGTATCTATATATCCATGTATCCACATATCGATATATCTATATTTCTATGTATCCATATACATATATATATATGTATCTATATTTCTATGTATCCACATATCGATATATCTATATTTCTATGTATCCATATACCTATATATATGTATCTATATATCTATGTATCCACATATCGATATATCTATATTTCTATGTATCCATATATCGATATATCTATATTTCTATGTATCCATATACCTATATATATATGTATCTATATATCTATGTATCCACATATCGATATATCTATATTTCTATTTATCCATATACCTATATATATGTATCTATATTTCTATGTATCCACATATCGATATATCTATATTTCTATTTATCCATATACCTATATATATGTATCTATATATCTATGTATCCACATATCGATATATCTATATATCTATGTATCCATATATCTATATATCTATGTATCCACATATCGATATATCTATATATCTATGTATCCATATATCTATATATCTATGTATCCACATATTGATATATCTATATATCCATGTATCCATATATCTATATATCTATGTATCCACATATCGATATATCTGTATATCTATGTATCCATATATCTATATATCTACGTATCCACATATCGATATATCTATATATCCATGTATCCATATATCTATATATCTATGTATCCATATATCTATATATCGATATATCTATATATCTATGTATCCACATATCGATATATCTATATATCCATGTATCCATATATCTATATATCTATGTATCCATATATCTATATATCTACGTATCCACATATCGATATATCTATATATCCATGTATCCATATATCTATATATCTATGTATCCATATATCTATATATCCATATATCTATATATCTATGTATCCATATATCTATATATCCATATATCTATATATCTATGTATCCACATATGATATATCTGTATATCTATGTACACATATATCCATATATCTATATGTATCCACATATCGATATATCTATATATCCATGTATCCATATATCTATATATCTATGTATCCACATATCGATATATCTGTATATCTATGTATCCATATATCTATATATCTATATATCCATGTATCCATATATCTATATATCTATGTATCAACATATCAATATATCTGTATATCCATGTATCCATATATCTATATATCTACGTA